GAAGATTTTCGCATTTCGAACACGTCGCAAGAATACCGACAATACCCCCTCTAGCACCTCAACGAGAGGGCTGCACACATTAGAGGTGGCGTAAATCGGTTTCTCGCGACGTGTTACCCCTATATCTGATAGAAAATTGACGAGTTTTGATGAAAGATTTCTGCTTAAAAGTTGGTGTGTGTGAGCCATATGGTAGTGCCCAAACAGAAGCTGTTGTTTTCGAAGCTTTCGAACTATCGCCCCCATCAGCCGAAGTGCTGGCCAGTGAAGGTGCTCTTATCTGCGATTTCCCTCATTGTTCAGCGCAGATACCATCCGAAGAATTTCGAAAGCCGTCGTTCCAGCACGCGCTTGCTGACTTTCTGGAAAAGGGCAGCATGGAGCCCTTGAGATGCTTTCAGCCACTTGTGACAAAAGCACAAACCCCAGTCGTCGAGTCGCGCGATACAGCCAGTCCAGGGCTTATAACTCATCTTCTCATACCCCTGCTCGAGTCGATTGGGTCGCCGGTAGACGAAGATGTTACTCGCTTGAGAAAACGTGTTCGTGATGATGCAAACATCGAGGCTGCGGAGCTCCCATGGCGGAGATTGCCTCTCTGGATTGCACTGCGCATTGGGATTCAAAGACAACTACAACTCTCGCTAGGGAACAAAGCTGGGAGAGCTCACTACAAGTTTTTGATCGTCACTGTACTTGTCGAGATTCTACTCGAATGCCCCGGAAAACTGGCACCCGAGCTGACAATGACCCTGCGAGCCAAAATCTGTCGTCGTCTTGCAAAACTTGAGCAAGAGAAGAATAGGATGCCGGAAATGTACGGCCAACTATTCAACGCTACTACAGAATTCTTCAAGAAGAGCATCATGCAAGCCACGCAGCTAGTGAATTTAGCTTGGGAGAAATTCAAACGAGAGACGACACGGCCTATTCCTGTGCTCCCCACACGTGCTGACCAGCAAGCACAATTTCTGTCTCTTCCCAACAGTAGATCATACCTTCAAAGCGTTTTGGAGTCACCTCATTCACAAAAGAAACCCCCCCGATCTTTGCAGCTTCCATCGCTACATGATACCACGATTGAGCGAGTTGAGCGGTTCACTGATATGTATCATCGATTGGCTGAGTTGGAGTGCAACATCGAAACAAGAGAAGAACCCAAGATAAGCAAAGACTTTACTCTCGAATCTTTTTGCGAAAAACTATCGGGTGCAATGCTCGGTCTCATGAACAGTGTTGGGGCAGCGTACGACTCCGACCCCGAGCAAATGTCCGTCTTCATCTTAAGTCTTTTCACACTTTGGGTGAGACTAGACAAGTACATCACCAATATTTTCCCTATGATCCTGGAGTACCACCCAGTGTTCACTCCTGAGCTCTTAGATGCCCTGCATTTACCGACAGCCGCGGGAATGCGGCGACTTCGTGACATCCAGAGCTATATTCACAACAGATGCGAAGGATGTAAGTATCAGACAACTATATTCGCCGAGCCTAAAAAGAATTGCTTTGTGGTAAGATACTTTTCGACTTCGAAATCGATGCAACAACTCCATCAAAGCATACAACAGGCATCGGAGGTATCACGCCAGGCGAAGACATCAGAGTTAGAGAAGTGGTGGTCTGAGTTTGATGAACATTCTTTGGGCATCTCTGGGGGCACATGTACTTGCACATTTAAGCGCGATGGGACGCGAGACGTAAGGGGATGTACCAAATGCTGGCATTGGCGAGTTCGGAACCGCATGCAGATCTATGCGCACGAGGATTTCCTTCCTAGCGATCCCATCAAATCAGCCGCAGTCATTTTCGAGTTGAGTATTCCAAGATCTTTTGTTGCATATCGCAACGCAACATGGAAGATATTGATGTTGGCTTACCCTAGCAAACCGCAATCCGGATCACCCACAATACTCTTGAGAGACTACGACCCGCTCACAAAATATGCGTCGAGACAATCCACCGGTGTCACTATTGCATCGACATCTAAATCATTTCGTGGCACACATTACAAAGTTGGTAAGAAGAAGATGAAGGCATCCGAATCCGATGTTCTTTATCCCAATGGATTAAATTTCTCGTACTTCGATACGGTTTCGAAGACCTGGATCAAGGACTTCGACAGACCATTGACCTTCCAACATGAGTGCGGAGTACATGTACCACCTGGGCTTTGCAGCTTGCTCATACCAAGCTCGTCGCACCCTCCCACTGTGATAACTGGGCCGTCTTCATATGAAATCGTCGCATCGGAAACGCAGTGTCCATCTGACATGTCCTTACATGAATTCACGGCCTATCAACGGTTGCTTTCCGGCAAGACTCGCCGATGGCTTACGATGTTGGTCGAATTAGGCGCGTCGAATGTGAACTTCAGCAGCGAGAGCACAATGCACATATTCAATCACCTTGCTACTCAAGCTGGACCGGCAAATGATAAGTACGATACATTCGGCGACATCCATGCGGTCTTCAAGGATATGTCATTTTGTGACTGCCTAGCCGCACAAGTAGAAACACGCCTCAACAACATTACGTCGAACTGGCGTGAGGTTCATTGCATGGAGGCCATGGTCACGTTAGTTCTGCGCCTTTGCGAATTGGCGGCCCCCATGGTGCGAGCGAACGAACTTCTGGTTAAGGCACGTTGTATCACCTTAGCTTGGATTACCCGTCTTCGGGCCGATGTTAGAAATGCCAAAGAGACTTCTGTCGCCGAAACAGCCGCTAAATACGCTTTTTGGGCTGCACTTCTCTGCCGCAGGACATTCTTTAACATCAAAGAATCAGATGATGTCATGTCAGAGAATGATCTGTCTACATTTGCCCAAGCATCATTAGCTCTTCAAGAAAACCTCCTTGTGGATGTGGCCAAGCTACCACCGATCCTGAAGAGGATGTTGATTCGAGATACCAAAACAACGTACAAGATCAAACCACTCTTACTACAGTCTACAAAAGCTCATCCTCAAAGTGTTGGCATGGCGATCAACATATCGTGGTCAGAACCAGGGAGTTCAGCAGGGAAATCCTTCAGTAATTGGCGGCAAGTCTCACCCATACACGACCGATGGGTAGTAAGTACTATGGCATCTTCGACGAAGAGCCCAGCAAACGCACAAGTAGTCCACTACAACTTTACGGAAGGTCACTTACTGGTCGATGGCAAGCCCTTAGGAAGACTTCCACGCGATTTTCGAGAGTCAGATGATGTGAAACAACTCTTTGGTAATCAGCATCTCCTCACATTCCCATCCGCTGAGTTTGGCATGTCGTACGTCCTCGCGTTGCGTATAAGAAATCACGAGATACACTTTGGTTCTCGGAATGGGCGAGTCATCATCCGTGCTTGGAGTCGGGATGGGCTGCAGGAATACATTCCATCTCGTCTTTTCGTCAGAACCGAGACTGTCGACCTTCCCGATGGACTCGTCTCCAATTGTGCGCATTGGTTGAATCTAAACACAAGGTGTCTTGAGATCCGACGCAAACCTTTCCTGTGGAAGACAAGAGCAAGCGACTGGAAGATTGATCTTATCAAATGGCAAGCTCATCGAAGCAATCGAACGTTGCTAATCGATCCTAATTCATCTCTCTCCAAGCAGGTTGCTGACGTCTTTCGTGGTTTTGAAGACCCACACAAGATTACCGTTTTTCAGCCCATCAATTCAAGGGGAAAGTTATCTGTGGAACTTCGCCATTTGGAACTGTCATTCTTCGTGAACCAAAAGGGGCTTCTCCAATGTCGAGAGCTGAACGAAGAGATCGATCCCAATCAAGATGCTGGCACACTGTACGGTTTCCAGAGTAAAATCGTGCTGCGTGACGTCGCAAACAATAAACGTCGCAGCATAATAGCACCATGTGGACCAATTTCTGCTACACGGCATGGGATGCACGTGGCCGTTCGAGCAGCTACTAGCACTGATTATGCAAAGTTGGGAATTGATGATGTACTTGGACGCTTATCGTGCCCTCCTGAGCCCCGACTTTTATACTCAAAAGCTCAGTTTCATGCGTATACATCATTCGCTATACCTGATCCTTTGACTGGCCGCACAGGCACCGAAGAAGCGTTGCACATGCTCCAATCGGGTTATTGCCAACCATGGGAACCGTTGGCTGGAGGATCACTCAATGTTCTCAAATCAATTTCAGACCTTAGTCCAAAGCGTGAATACTATCCGCAAGACAAGAAAGCACTGCAAAATGTGTCCTGGAATGCAAGGCTTACCATGGCCATCCAACATGATGCCTACGAAGGGCTTGTGCAGAAAATACTCGACAAGTCGGACCATCTTCGGGTCTTTGCTCAAAATGCAGTGGACGGTGTAAACATTAGCACATACGTCCCGTCTCACCTTAGGGAACGGGGCCTTGCGCAGCGCCGCATCTATGAGCGCAATGTCGAAGATACAACTCGGGCAGCAGCTGATGATCGGATGTACAAATCTCGTGGCCAGCAAGCCAATTCAGTACAAGCACGCAAAGTTTATCACATAACAAACCTTTTCCAGAAGAATCCCTTTCAAGTCCACACGGATCGAGAACTTTCTACAATATTGCAGGATTGGCAGCTCATCGGTGGGTTTCATGGGATACGTCGGCACGACGCTGCGAGCCTGAGCGACCTGGTTGAGATGAATGTCGATGAACAATGGGGCAGTCTTGTGAATATCTGTCGCCATTCCAGTCTTGAAGAACCCTACAGTTTGATGTTTCGCCTAAGTCTCATGTCGCTTAACCCCACAACCGACCTAAACACCATCAAGATCCTGGCAGCGTTTGCGTCTCTGCCGACGTTGAGAGACCTAATACCTCCATCCTGTCCTTCATTCAACCAGTTCAGGCTTAACGAAGTGCCCAGCATACAATCCATCTTCCATGTAATCTCTGTCGATTTACCGGAGAAGCGTCAGCGGATGCAGACAAGGGCTGAAGCAGAACATCGAAAGGCATGTGAAGCTGAGGGGAAACGATTAGCGCAACACTTCCTTAGCCAATGGCCAAATCGAAAAGTTGCTCTGGACGGGTTCGATTCGGACGTCCTTGATGTAGGGCTCGCAATGGAGCGTGTCGTCCCTGAGTGGGAGCGCTTGCACTCAAACGCATCCCTTTCAGAGTACATAGTTCATGTGCAGAATGAATTGCGGTGTCACAAGGGACAGATTGATACGTCACATCCAAAAGCTTGGGATTGGGAGCAAGAACCATTCTATGGAAAAACACATGATCCTGTTATACCGTCTGTCTCGAGGGATCTTCTTAGTAAAGCGCTAACGTTACCTTTCGGACGCCAGGTGTGCGAGCTCCCACTCCCCAGTGACACTAAATTTTCTACCGATATGAAGGAGAACACGGTAGCAAGGATATCAGGTAAGGAGACTGTTGAGCTACGGCAGATTCTTTCCAATTTTGCGCAAGTATCAAATCCTATCCGCCAACAGTATGGGCTTGATTTGAAGATGAGCCTTGACGCCCTGGAGAAAACCAGTAATCAGACTCACGTTTCGCATACCACCCCGAATATTACAGTCAACGCAAAATGCATCGACAGTCTTCGTACTATGGTAGCCACTCACTTGTCTCGGATTCATGGAGCTTTATCTGAAAATGATGACCGCTTCCCGTGGTTAAACCTTGGAAACCTCTGGCCTTGCACAACGTCGATCGCGCTTTTAGAGCAACTGCGCTCGAGCTCGTCTTGCAAGTTTGGGGATTGTGTACGGGAGGCGGTTGTGTCGCATGGTATTCTAATCACAAAGTTGCAGCGACTGATGCGGATTCAAAACGCGCTGTATCATGGCAAGGACAAGAACCTCCAAGAAGAGCTTGGAAACTCCGGTCATGAGAATTGGAGTCCACTGGAACGGTCTGACTGGCTTCTCTTAGAGATTGATAGTGACATTTTGATCCGGCGGGAGCAGGTTGATGTTGCACATGCAATCATTGCACCAGAATCGAGGGACAACACGGTGTTGCAGTTGAACATGGGTAAAGGTAAGTCGAGAACATTAGGGACACAAAGGGCTCCCTAACAATAAAGAATAGGTAAGACATCGTGTATTGTTCCCATGGCAATGGCGGTCATAGGAGACGGCAAGCAGCTCTCACGTCTTATCGTACCAAAACCATTGCTTTTGCCGACTGCACAAATGATTCAGTCGCGATTGGGCGGCTTAGTCGGTCGCGAGATACGACACATTCCTTTCTCTCGCAGGACTAACATCAACCCGCAAACACTTCAGCTCTATAGAGACCTCCATAGGGGAATCTTGGACAGTCGGGGTGTTGTGTTGATTGCGCCCGAACACCTTCTCTCCTATAAGCTTAGTGGCCTTCAACATCTTACCAGCTCTAACCTGGAGATTGCACGCGAGATGGTTGAGTTCCAGGCCTACCTCAGCTCGATTTGTCGGGACATTCTGGACGAATCGGATGTTTCATTGGCAGTAAAGACTCAACTCATCTATCCGAACGGCAAGCAGACTACAGTAGATGGACACCCATACCGCTGGAAAGTGGCGCAATCGCTGCTATCACTCGTGAAAGATCGTCTTCCAGAGCTTGAGCGGGAATTTCCGCGCAAAATCGAAGTCCTGAAGCGTGGTCAGGGTTATCCGATGATATACATCCTTCAAGCAGATGTAGAGGAGTACCTGCACCAAAGCATTGTCGATGAGATCTGTACTGGAAGGACATCATTTCTTCGCTTCGCAGACCGTGCTTGGGATAGCTTCGAAGTGAACCTGCGTAGTGTGCTCTTTGAAGAGAACCTGGATAATGAGCTGTTGGAGCGTGTGGCTAAATTGTTCACCGACGAGAATATTGCGCTCAAAACGCTATTGCTTGTTCGCGGTCTGTTGCGCAATCGAATACTGCTTTTCTGTCTCAGAAAGCGCTGGAACGTACAGTATGGGTTGCACCCTAAGCGAGATCCGATGGCAGTGCCCTTCGAGGCAAAAGGTATCCCTTCCGAGCAGGCTGAATTCGGGCACCCTGACGCAGCGATCCTTCTCACATGCTTGGCTTTCTACTACACTGGTCTCAGCCTGATTCAATTCCGCGAAGCTCTTCGTCATATTCTGGCATCACAAGACCCTGCTAGCGAATACGACAGATGGACTAGCACCTGCGATTCGCTTCCGGAGGCTTTGCATCATTGGAACGTTATCAATCCCGATGACCATGATCAGGTAGATGAACTCTGGAGGCATCTTCGAATGGACAAAATCGTGCTCGACCACTACATGAACCACTTTGTATTTCCCGCGCACGCCAAACAGTTCGACATCAAGCTTCAGGCTTCGGGATGGGACCTGCCCTTGTTCCCGCGAACAGAATTCGGCAAGACACTCACACGTGCCAGGACTACTGGGTTTAGCGGCACTAACGACAATAAAATGATGTTGCCGCTGACTATCCAGCAGAATGATCTGCCAAGTTTGCATCAAACGAACGCTGAGGTACTTACCTACTTATTGCAAGAGCAAAACCGTGCATATCACCTTGTAGCTCGTGCCGGAAAGCGACTATCCGAGACAGAATTCCTTGCACAACTCAGGGATAAGAGGATTCGCATTCTCATTGATGCCAGTGCTTACATACTCGAGATGAGCAACGAAGACTTGGTCAAGGCGTGGATGGATATAGATACTCAGCCACCAGCAGCTGTGTATTTTGGTGCTGACAATCGAGCCTGGGTGCGATACCGTGGTACCAAGGCGCGAGTCCCCCTGCTAGCAACCCCATTTGTCGACAATCTAGACAACTGTCTCGTGTACCTGGATGAATCGCATACACGAGGCGTAGATCTAAAACTGCCTCAATACGTTTGCGGTGCGCTGACACTTGCTCTTGGGCAGACCAAGGATCATACTGTGCAGGGTAAGTAGGAACATTCGATCTACAAAATGTTCAAAGTTGACGCGGAATCCAGCTGCTATGCGCCTTCGGCAGCTCGCAACTACTCAATCCATTTGCTTCTTTGCATTTCCAGAAACTCATCAGTCTATCCTTGACGTTTGTGGAGTGAACAAAGACGATAAAGTCAACTCTTCCCATGTCGTTAGGTGGTTGTTAGAACAAACGTGCCGTGCGAATGAACAGCTCCAAAATCTATACGTCTCCCAAGGTACCGACTTTTGTAACCGAGTAAATGCAGAATGGGAGAACGCAGCTTTTCTCTCTAATGCTCAAGACAGGACTGCATATGTTAGGGTGCTTCAGCATCCTGAACAGCAAACATTGGAGCAGCTATATGGAGGCTGCACGAAAGATATCCATGGCCCATCCTCTTTTACGACCATGTTTCCGCAGCTCGAGACTTTCAAGAACAAGCTCAACCACCTGCGTCTGGGTATGTCGAGCACCGCAAATATCCTTTACTCCTCTGCGCTGGAGGAAGTAGAACAAGAACGCGAGGTGGAATTTCAAGTTGAAGAAGTGCGTGAGGTACAGAAAGCCTTACATTACAAAGCCCATGCGTTCCCCGGAGTTCATCCTGCCATCTTTAGTTTTGTGAGTACTGGTCATTTGTGTGGAGACGTGGGGTATGAACACGTGTTTGATGCTGTTTCACGCACGTCTATCGGCGAGAGATTTGGCGTTAAAGGAACAGAATCCCGCTTGTTTGTTTCGGTGGAGTTCATGAGAACAATCAATACGGACAAGGGTGGCTTGATTGATAACTTTCTAGTGAGTTCATCATCTTTGGCGTCTTGCTGATATATTGACTATTCCACTAGCGTCCTGTTGAATGGATTCTTTACAGTCCCGTCACCTTCGACGCACTCATCGTCATCGCCGAGGAAGCAGAGGTTTTGATTCCTCAGATTCGCACTCAAGCATTCCCCCCCAAAGTACATCTCCTCACGTACTCAGCGCCAGCCACAAAGAAGATGCTACAATTCAGTGACCTACAATACTACTCCGTGCCGGCACTTGAAGGCGGACACATCATTCCGCAAAGCCTCACCGTTGAGCTTGGCATCTTCGCAGGTCGGTTGTACATGAAATACGAGGAATGTGTGTCTCTAGTGAATTACATCAATGACGCCAGCATAAATGGGCGATTTGATGCAACGACGACCGAAACAATCAGCTTTATCCTTGAGTGGGTTGCCCTCCGCCGCAGAGGTCAAGACATTACGCACACTCCGCTTGGCTACGTGTGCCAGGGTCGTCCATTAGGTATCGAGCATGCGTTCTTCGTGACCAGCCGTGCTGTTGATATTGGTGTGGTCGATTCATACCATACTAGTGGAACTGTCACTGAGGCACAAGAAGATGAGGATGATGAGGATGAGAAGCAATATGACTTGGAAGAGAGCTAGTATCATGTTGATTCGAGCTAAATCTACTTCTATTGTATTCGATAGAGAGCTACTAGCCACCTACTTGAGCGCTTAGGTCTGATGCGGGTTAGAGAAACACGCTCTCCCGTTGGTCCGAACGTCGGTCGAACACGCATACCGATGATGTCTAGGCACGGCTCAAATGGGCAGAATCTGGATGCCAGGCCATACTCCTGGATTCTGTGGTCACATGCTGAGATCCCATCGGGGCGTCCTACCAAAAGGTGTGCAGCCCGTTACTGTCCTAAGCATTTTAGTGTGAACTGATCCCATAGTGAACAGCCTCACGCCGGTAATTTCCATTTGGCTTTACTTCCATCCCGAGTGGTTTTGTTTTATCCCAAGTGGTTTTGTTCCATCCCGAGTGGTTTCGTTCCAGATGTGATTTGAAGTCTTGGCATTGCCTCATCTCTACTTTTCGTCCAAGGTTTCCAAGATTTTGCAATTTCGCTTGCCAGACATTTCAGTACCAAACTAATAAACAATATCTGCCTTGTATTTCGGTGTTTTCTAAACATAAGTCAAAGCAGAGACAGAACGATCTCAACATCCATACTACTACACTAGTCTCTTACCTCATTGAACATGGCGCCCCCGTTCGTCCCTGAGGACGAGGAACTGCTTCTCGTCACCAGGAACACGATTAAGAATCATCCCAAAGGCACTTAGGAAAATACCACAAAGCTATACAACATTCTTGTGCCATCACATGTTCAGCGAACGCAAGACAGCCTGCAGAACAGGTACAAGATCATGAATGTAGAGCAGGCTCGGTGGAGAGCTCTAGGTGATCGCAAACGCGTTCTTGAGAACAAAGTTCTACTGACGTTCCATAAAATGCTCAATATGAGTATGCACGCCGCTGAGTATCCGGATCCAGCCGTACGGAAGAGCTCTAGCATACGAGCTCGAGCCCAAACAGCAGTCGCCCGATTAAAGAACGGCCGGGATGGGCGCAATACCTCGATACGATCCGCCGAGCCACGCCAAACGCGATCCAACGTAAACACATGCTTCACTCACCCCAACAACACTTTCATTGAGATTTGTTCAGGGCCAATCGTCATCGAAGGACAGCCATATCAACTACCAGCCAAGGGTGAGGACGCCAATGGTTTCACAAACGGTTTCGCGCCCATTTGGAAGTGCTAATCTCCCAAATGTTGAGGTCGACGATTTCGCTTGTTTGACTTCCGAGATTCTCCTGCGACTCGATATGCTAGATCAAGGGTTGAGGCGACAGTATTCGCGAATGAAAGAGAAGAGATGGTAACCAAGTGTTACTGAGGAGTCTTCGAGGAAGTGGTAAGCCCATAGTAGGGTCTATCCGTTTACGGCTTAGTTGTAAACCTGGCTGTTGGCTGGCCATGTTCTAAATTTCAATTTTTAGTCGCCAATCAGATTAACGTCTATCCCTACGTGCCGGGACGCACGGTGTAACGGGACACTTTCTCTTCTAGACCCTTGGACTATCCCACAACATACTTATATATAGACAAGCGCAATACGCATCTACTCTAGAGCTCTTACTCTTCTAGCATATCAGCCTCTGATGCTAAAAAGCGCGTTATTGGCCGTGCTATCGCTTATTCTATTAATGCTGTCTTCTAACTCTCCTCTAATACCCCCTGCTCCTCCGCGATAGTACGCTTCTACGAACAGCTTAGTAGGTTAGAAAAGAAGCTAGAATAGCAAAGATTAAGAATACAGTCCTAAAAAGTCGATTTAGAGCAATAAGTACACGTCCTAATAGTTTCTCCGCGTAGACGGCAAGATCGTCAAAACGCGTCGTGAAGGACGTGCGCTATTAGTAGTACTTGGCATGCAGGTAGTCTATAGTAGCGTGCTTAAATATCGCTGTATGCTATCGTAACGAATCTAGCACTATACCTATAGTAGTTGGCGGCTAAGAATAGCTGTGGCGCATGCCTATAGCTTTCTAGAAGCCGCTACAGCTAGATGCTCAGCCTCGCTATTGCAACGCGACCTCGGCCGCTATCGGCATTTGCTCTGCTTAAAGACGCCGATGCTGCTGCTCTACTAAGAAGCGATAAAGCAGCGTCATCCTCTTATCGGCCCACCGGCCTATAGTTAATTAGAGCTTTCTTTATAGTCTATATTACTCCGTTGCTAACGTCTATTTATTCCGTGCCGGATATTAAATGAGTCAGCATTAAACACAATTAAGGCATACCCCTTAGCGATAGCTCCTTGAGCACACCTGCCCTTAAAGTATCGCCGGCTCTAGCTATCACCTAAGATTAGAGGTTCGGCTTCACTGGCGACATAGTAATATCTAACTTAGTCCTTAGTAATATCTCTAAAAGACTCTATTAGCACTAGTATATCTAGAGTTTATGCTGCTAGTTAGCGCGTAGTATGTCTTGTGCTGTGCTAAGGGTCTAGAAGAAAAAGTGTCTTATTATATAAGGGGCTGCGCTCTAGAGAGTAATCGCGAGGTATATAAGAGGTTATATTTAATAAGGAGCTATCTACTCTGCTTACATTATATTTATTTACTTATCAAAGAAGGGTTATGCCAAAGTGTCTGAGCGCGTTGTCTGAGCGCTGCTCAAGCGGTGAGCAGAGTCCGGGTGCTCTAGATAACACCCGGATTCCATGCTCATCTGAACAACGTTTAGATGGCGCGCGTAGAGTGAACCGAGATCTCATCGAGGAGCTACCCAAAGGGCGTTCAGCCCGTTACATATTACACCGTGCGTCCCGGCACGTAGGGATGGACATTTAGATAATAACTAATAATAACTATGTTATAAGAGCGGGCGGATGGCCCAATTACCCGAGCAGCAATCGGACCGTATGAAAAGGAATTGAGGTCACAGACGAGGGATAAGTGAGCATAGGGCTGCAGCCTATCACACTGGAGAAACCTTTTTGCTAGTGAATTTTATTGCAGAGTGCACAATTAGTTAACTACGTATATATTTAGTTTCATTGGCCTTAGATCATCGAGCACGCCTTCTACCTACCAGCTACTTCTTTTTACCTGACTACTCTCTGGCAAACGTCCACTACCATGCAGTTCATCATTCTCACCCTCACTATCATACCAACGGTGTTATGTCAAAGGAGACCTCAATGCTGGAAATATACTCGGACTTTGTATGGAGTTTGTGCTCGCGTACAGAAAAATGTAAACCACATCCTTAATCAGTCAAAAATGGTACACTAAGCAATAATAGGGAAAAGCAGTACATGAATTTAATGGACCTGTTTCCCAAAATGACGTGGATCTTGCGTGTAAAGAATCCGCCTGGCCGTGGGCATCATGGTACGGGGTTTGGGATGATACTAACCCAGTTGGCCAATGTTATTTAACTGGTATTAAAGATAATTGGGCACACGATGTTCAGGTACGCATCTAATGATAGTAAAGAAGATGTAGGTTACTAAGGTGTCTTCTAGTTTACCTGTTGCTATAACTGAGG